AAGATGTCAGAAGTTAACGAAAAGGTACTAAATTTAAGTAATCCACTTGTTATCCATGATTCTATGGATGTTATCACTATCAATTTATTCTATGGTTGTTATTGCTACAGTAATCCTAAGTCTACAGCAACTTTACAGCTACAGTAATCCCAAGCCTACGGTAATCCTATTGCTACAGTAATCCTAAGTCTAGAGCAACTTTACGACTACAGTAATCTTATGGCTACAGGAACCCTAGTGCTACAATAATCTTGTATATAGTAATCCTATAGCTAGTAATCCTAAGCCTACAGTAATCCTATTGCTACAGTAATCCCGTCTACAGGAATCCTCTTGCTACAGTAATCCTAAGCCTACAGAAATTCTATTGCTACAGTAATCCTAGCCCTACAGTAATCATGTAGCTAGTAATCCTAGGCCTACAGTAATCCTATAGCTAGTAATTCTAGCCCTACAGTAATCCTCTAGCTAGTAATCCTAGCCCTACAGTAATCCTATCGCTAGTAATCCTAACCCTACAGTAATCCTATAGCTAGTAATCCTAGCCCTACAGTAATCCTCTAGCTAGTAATCCTAGCCCTACAGTAATCCTATCGCTAGTAATCCTAACCCTACAGTAATCCTATAGCTAGTAATCCTAAGCCTACAGGAATCCTATTTCTACAGTAATCCTAAGCCTACAGTAATCATAGTGAACTAATTTTACGTAAAACAAGCAAAATGACAAAGATGAAAGATTTACTAGGATAGCCCGTTGACTTTACATTACAAAAGAATTGAAGACAAAGCCAAAGCAAGATTTCCTACAGTAAACAAAAACAATTTGCGAAGCATTTCACTCTGAAAACAGTTCAAGTGGTGGTTTCGCAAAGCCCGAGGCATTTGCAGTGCCAGCCGGGTCGTGGCAGTGCTGCGCGAACAGAACAGAAAGGCCATTGCTGACCAAAGGGGACACTGTTTGCGCATCCCATTGTTTGAGAGAGACTGGGTCGGCACGGTCACTCCCTTTCCCTTTCTCCACCACTCACTAGTCCTAAGGATGGATCTCTTTCTGTCTTTCTGCACGCTTTGCACTTTCGAGATGCCTAGGCAGTACTGACTAGTACCGAGAGGGCCAAACTTGCAAACAAATCTATCGGCAAGTAGAGCAAGAGTTGAGGGATCGGAGTTAAATAGTTAAATTATAAAGTTAATTAAACAAAATATTGTATCAATCTGGCTGTAACTTGGGAAAATGTTTGGAAAATAAAAAAACAAAATAAAAACAAAGTTTTAACTTTGGACTTTTCAAGAACTGGTCATTTTCGTCAAGAAACTGGACTGGTCATTTTCCCTCTAAAAACTCTTGACTCTATCATCTTGTATTATATTAGGTGTGTGAAAAAGTAATCCACGTTTTCTATTTTTATCTGATGACCAAATAAGACGCTGTCTTCTCGAAAACCCTCGTTCAACCTCTTCAGAAATAGGCTTTACATTAAATTGTGATGGGTCAACCGTAAGGAAACGCTTGAATGCCATGAATTTTATCAAAAAGTTGGACAAATGGATACCGCATGAACGATAACGCGCGACCACATGTCTCTTTACAGACTCGACAAAAAATCCAGAGTGTTGGATGGGAGGTTTTACCACATCCACCTTATAGTCCAGACCTTTCTCCATCTGATTATTATTTACTTTGTCTCTGTCTTTTTGTCTCTGTCTTTCTGGCCAATAAACGGTTCAATTCCGAAGAAGACGTCAAAACCGAGGTTGCTCTTTTCTTCGCCTCTAAGGACCAAGATTTTTATGATCGTGGAATGTCTTTACTTGTAGGACGTTGGCAAAAGGTTGTTCTTTCGAATGATGATTACTTCATTGAATAAAAATTATTTTAACGAAACTTATAGCCTTTTATATTTAAATGTTAAAAACGTGGATTACTTTTTCACACACCCAATAGATTGTTATTTGAACTTTAATGTATCTATTTTTTAAGATTTCATTTCTGTATCTAAATACAGATATCTAAATCTTCAAATATTAAAACATCAAACTTTCTCGAGGCAACGATTTCCGGTTCGTGCCAGCTTCACCCTTTTCCCCTCAATGGTCGATGTTGTCTTTTGGCGGAAAGGTGAAGCGGCACCCGATACACAAATATAAACCTTTTCCCCCGTCTTTGACTCAAAAGGTTGAGTTAAGGGGAAATCTTTGTTTTCTGCTTCTCATCGTCTTTTCCTATTCCCTTTGATGACACTCAAGATCGTACTACTTGAGCACACGGAAGTGAGGGAAAGAGAAAGGCTTTCCCCTTGAGGGAAAGGTTGACCATTATGCAAAGTTTGGCAAAACGAGTAAATAGAGAATCGAGGTTGGAAAAGTTGAAGAAAATTAGACGCTAATTAGGTTAGGTTTACGGGAATTTATCAACAATCAAAAGTAGAAGAAATGAAGGTAATAAAGTAAAGAAATAAATGGTAAAGAGTTTGGAACCGAAGGGGAATTGAACCGATCTTCTGCTTACCGGGCAGATGCTCTACCACTGAGCTATCACCCTTCTTTGCTCATGAAGAAATAGGAAAGACAAGGAGGAAGGAAGAAAGGAAGAACAAAGAGAGGAAGAAGTATATTCTAATGGTTTAAACGACCGGGAAAACAAAGCTAATCTCATTCAAAAGACAATTATCTGAGTGAGACAATTATCTTCTATATGTTATTTCTGATCCAGAAATCCGTTCGATCTAGAATCAGTCTAGCTCTTCTATATGTTACGTCAGATCTAGAAATAATGGTTAACACAGTTACCCAGTAAGCGGATGGTCGCGAGTTCGAGTCCCGGCGGTGCACAGGTTTTGATCTGTTCCAACCAACAACGCACTTGACCTCCTTTACTCCAGAAGGAGTTAACTTCCCTCCTCTCTGGACGAGACGGTTTCACACGTCTCGATTTATAGGCCTGGGGTTTCCTGGGAAACCAGGAAAGACTTTAGCCAGCATTGCAGATTTTCCTGAACAAAGAACTCTGAGGGCCTTGTTTGCATCGCTTAGTGAATGTGGAATCCATTTTCCAGCTTTATTGATCTTACCCAATTCATACAAATGGTTTTCGTTTGTTTTATGACCACAATTAAAATGTTCTGCAAGTTCACGTGTAATCTTTGTCGATTCACTTTCGATTATCTGCTTCAAATCGTCTTATGCCACAGCCTGTGAGCGGTGTCCTCGTTCCAGATCTTCCAGACTTCCGTCACCCTCTCAAAATCTTTTGAACCAGTTTTGACATTGATGAACAGTGATAACATCTTTCCCAAATACGTTACAAATTGATTCATGCGATTCCGTTGCTGTTTTTTCTTGTTTGAAATCGTACGCATACAAATGCTAAATCGATATTTGAGGTCGTCTAGCAGCTAAAAGATTTTTTACTTAAAATTCTTGAACTGGAAATAGAGAAAAGACGCGTAATAAAGCACAATAATTATATCTTTAAAACAGAAGAGATTGCGGTGGTAAAAGTATCCACAGTGTTAAAATCCATAAAGAGAAACGCGACACGAAATTTCAATGTCGCCAATCTAATACTTTTCAATAATTACTGTTCAATATTTCAATAATTACTGTTCAATAATGTCACAGTTGTTTTTATACAGCTGAAAAGTTTCAAAGAAGCTTTTCTAGTTAGAATTTCGAAGTTATTGTTTTTTTTATTTTAAACAAGTTCAGTTAACTTTGTAAAAAACATGAAAAGAATCGATGAAAGAAAGCTCTGCAGCTGCGGTAAAATGTTTAAAACTCTAGAGTTGCAAACTTTCAAATTTTCTGCTTAAAATATTGAAATTAAGCGTAGGAAATGATCTCAAAAGTCTAACCAAAAAAGATTTGTGAATAGTGGTCAATTGCAATACTCAAACAAACGATTACCCGTCAATCTTGATGATCTTCAATCTTGTAGTCGTCAATCTTGTAGAGTTGCTCAAATGTCTATGGTATTGTTTTTTTAAAAAACCAGATCAAATCATCACTTTTGCTTTTGTTTTTGCCAAACCACCAGGCCGCTTTCCATTTCAATTTCTTTTGCTTTTTCACTCTCAGAAACGGGATTCTAGATTTCACTCTGTTATTGTTTCAGAAACGAACACCGATGAGCCATTTGAGAAAAGGAGATAAATTTAGATCAAAGAATCCAGCTGTTCTTATAGCTTTAAGCCATTCAATAGTCTTTGTCGGTAAATGGGAGGCGGTCAACGGGGTCATCTCTGGGGTGAAAGAGTGTAAAAGATTCACTCCAAAAAGAGAAACGAAGTGAAATTCTGTGAAAGTGAAAGGCAGAGCTGGCTCTCGGCCTCGAGCGATGACCGAATTTCCGTGCTCCGAAATGGGGAAAATGGCCGGCACAGCCTTCCCTTCCTTTCACGATTTGAAATGAATGTGGATTTCTGGGGATTCACCAAAATATCAAATAAGGTTTACAATTTAGAAATCAGATGCTCGGAACATCTACTTTCTGTAAATATAAATGTTGATACATTTTATTCTATAGCAAGGGCAACGATTATTTGCACGCTGAGATCAATCGCAAAAAAATATTGATGAGAAAATTAATCACAAAAAAGTCAAAGCACACAACTTTTAATCGAGGAATTTAAAAATTTACGCACACAAGCGACTAGCGAATTTAGGAATCACGAAGTGCAGAGAAAAAGAACAAGCGGAAATTTACTGTACAGTAGATACGAGAAAAATAGTATAACGAATTAGATTCAGGGTAGAAATCTCTTCTTATTAAAAGTCACAGTTAGAGAAATATGCTAATTCATTTGAAGGCACAACAAGAAAGTTCGGTCACAACAAAGAGTGATAGCAGTAATTGAGCAAAATGGTAAGATTCTTCAAAAACGAATAATAAACAACAATCTGCAAGTGAAAAGGATGGAGCTTTGATATAGTGCATCAAAAGTAGGGCATTCATTATATCAAGGTCCAACTGAAAATGCGAATACCAAACACCGTTCTCAAATCTCCATCAGTTCTTCGCTGCTCTCCGCATCATCTTCCGAGTTCAAGAGGGCTGAAGATTCGGGACGTTGCTTGTTTCCGGAGCCTTTCGCTTCGCAACACACCTGAACAAAAATTTATATTCAATGAAATTGATAATTTTTATGTAAAATTTGTCTTTTGCATTCACAAGCTTGGTTCATAAATCAATAGATAAAGTTGGCTCAGTTCCACTTAATTTGGCTTGATTTTCTTGAAATAAAAACGTTATTTCTGTGTTTAAAAATTTTAAAAACAAAAAATGACCACTACCGACCAAGAACAACCTGAAGATTCTTCTGCAACACTCGCCCCCCGAATGGCTGTGTCCGTGATGTCCATGTCCACCCGACGCTTTCCCCTTCTTCATTCGACTGTTCGTCGTTTCTCCCTCAATAAACTGAAATGGGCCTATGAATTTTTCAAACGCCTAAAGCACTCACGTTAACGCATTGAACCGTGAAGAGGGTGCCCATGAAAAATATATGGAATCCGGCCAAAATACCCGTCAAAAAGATCCAACAATAGCGCTGTAGAACGAGATCTAGAACAAAAGACTGTACATTGAAGAGCATGTTAGTGGTCTACCGAAGCTTGAATCGCGTAACTCGGCGACGATGAAAAGTAGGCAGGCAAGTCCGTAGATGATCGAGCACACCAGAACCGAAGTCACAAATCCAAGGAAAAGCCGCATGTTTGATAATGTCACACACTAAAATTTAAAAGTTACATTAATTACAACTTGGATAACTATCATAGTAGGAACATTTTCGTAGGCTACGAAAAAAAATTAAATCCATGTTCTCAATCTTATTACTGTAAATAGATTTCATTAACTCAAAAAAATTACCTGTGCTAACCACGGGCAATGATGATCAAATCCTCGAACGCAGCTATCGCAAACGGAGCAATGTTTTGAGTGATTCGGTCGATTCACATAACACGAAAAGCAGAAGTAGGTCAATGCATCCTTCTCAATTTGTTCAACGAGGAAATCCTAAAAAAACAGGTTTTCCTGTAATAATGGCAAAAAACTTACCATTTTATTTGCATTAGGCTTTATTCGACCCGGATCACCAAGTGATATTCTTGCAAGTGTGTAGAAAACGGAAGCAACCGAGATGAAGAAAGCAATTTGAAGATACCACGGCACGAAAGGGTAAACGTACAGACACCTTAAACAAAATTGAAATTGAAATCTTAATCGTTAAAAGCTTATCGAGTCACCATTTACCACAATTGATAAAAATTATAAAGCTAAAGCTTACCATGCATGTACCATCGCAAGTGGTTCCGCTATCGTCACACCCACGGGAAGATATGAGTGTTGAACCGAGAATTCACCCAGCGAATAGTAGAGGATGAAAGCTGTGATTGCTGTTAGTCCGAGTGCCGCCGCCCAATGGATGAATTGAAAGTAGAGAATCGCCGCGCCAAAACCAATGACTAAATAAAAAATAGTACACAAAAGAACCAAAACGCTGATTGGCTCTAATCAATTAAAGTTAAACAAATAAGTTTCACCATGTGATACAAACACTTTATACTTACATGGGACCGCAAAGTGAAAACGATTCATGTTGCTGGGGCTGTCGCGGAGTCGATCACAAATCGTTGTCGGTTCGACTCCTTGTTTCCGCAATCCTTTCTTCAACATTTTCTGAATCTTCTGATGTCGATTGTTCGCCGCGATGTCCATCGGAGTCTCGTGTTGCTTGTTTTTTATCGTGGCGTCAGCACCCGCATCAAGTAATTCCCTAAAAATAAAATGTAAACAATACAACCAGAACAATAAGCTAATAATGTCTAGATTCGAACTAATGATAAAGGTAATTTAAATAATTTGCTTCATTTTGCTCCATCCATAGCTCCAAATAAAAACCTAAAGTCCTACTAGTCTGATATTTAACCTGATTGCCGTAAAGTTTCTTTCTTGTGCGGCTAGATGGAGTGCCGTATTCCCTTGTAGACTTTCTTGCACATTCAAGTTGGCACCACTTTCGATGATGAGACGAAGAGGGAAGAGTTGATAGCATCGATACGCAGCCCACATTAGTGCGGTCATCCCGGCGTTGTCCGTGAAATCTCGACAATCCGGAAACTTCGCTAGCAAATAGGCCGAAATCGCGACGTGCGTATTCTAAAACGAATGATTGATTGAATAGTTTATGTACTTCTAAACAAGTCAACATGTTATTTAACCATTTTGTGGTTAAAATCTGTTGATCTAAATTAGAAGCAGCAAAATTCATAAACAAATCAACTGCTTATCATGTTTCATAAACGTAACTGCAATGTGTGTTGAAGTTTTTAAGCGCAATTTTGTACTGTTTCCTCAGAATCATTAAACCTTTTTGAAAAAAATAAACGTACTTGTACGGCAAGATGTAGAGGACAATATCCCTGTGTGTCCCGAATATTGCACACGGCTCCGGCTTTGACAAGCAAGACAGCTGATCCGATTTGTCCTGTTCGAACTGCCCAATGTAAAGGTGTTGAGATGAGAATCCCACCGAGTACATTCGGATTCACCCCAAGCGATAGTAACCTAAACCAAAAAGAATAATAACACAACTTCTATCCACATTCATGCTGCCTCATTCTTTTCTCAAATATTACCACACACTTTTCGACGACTTTTATCCTGTTATTGATGGCGGCCCAGTGGAGGAGTGAGCAATTGTCGACATCCATCGCCTATAATTAACAAAATTATCGCCTTGAAAAGCTCTTTATAACATTTTTTATACTTTTTACATCAAAATAATCTCTTTTTAATGCCGAAACGTCATAAAAAGCTTAGAATGCTATTTCAAGTTCCAAATACATAAAGCACGAACCGACGGATCGAGCCCTTGTTGAAAGCATTCCTCGAGTTGTTCCTCGTCGCCTCGTTGACACGCATCCACCGCTCGACTCACAAGCGGCTGGGCCGGATCGGCCATCGGGAGGTCCTGGAAATAATATAAAATTAGTTAACCGTATCAAAGAAAAAAAAAGTAACAAACAGCACCTCTATCAACACAGAGACAAACGAAAAGCAAAATGAGCATTTAGTAAAGTGAAATTTGAATCAAAAACTATTTTGTCACGATTTAAAAAATATTCAGTAACTCAGTAATTCAGTAAAGCTTTAAAGCCTCTTTAATTCCGTAAACAGTAATTTAATTGTATGTAAATTTCACAGAAAACGCAACATTTCCCAACAACTTTACTATTCAAAGTTTTAGCTGTTGCTATGGGCAACATAGGGAAAAAAATTAGATGACTCTTGCTTGATAAGCTCCATTTTCCGATGAGATCAAAATTTCACAAGATTTGGCTACTAAATATTGCCAAAAAAAACAAAACAAAATTTGACACAATGACTCATTGTTGGGTTGTGAAATGACACAGATCAAAGATCGGAAATGTGCTAAACCTTTAAAATTTAAAAATCGCAAGAAAATTGATCGATTCAACGTCAAAAACGACTTTTTTCTTGAATTCGGTTAGCAATTTGTTTCTTTTGTCAACAACAATCACAAAAAAAATCACCAAATGATTCACGAGCAGAAATTTCGCAAAAAGTAAAATATTTTTCACTGGCTAATATAGGTAACACCAAATTGTTCAAGCACTCTTTTGATGAAATGGCAGTGAGCGCAAAAATTCGAGTGAAATGGCACGTGAAAAGAAAACTCTTCTCTCATCGGCTCTTTTTTTGCGCCCCAAAGAAGGGTCCATTCTTTTTTGACTTTTCTGGTGGGAATGGGAGAGAGCAAATAGAAAAGAGAAAGGAAAGGGAATCTCTTGGAGAAGATACCGTAGTGGGAAATGAATGAACAGGGTGGGGCATGGAATAGGGAACTGGTTGGATGGGGAAAGAGAACACAGACTGATACACAGAATTGTTGATCTCGTGGTTCAACGGATTCAGATAATTTGCGAGACAGCCGAAAAACTTCCGCACAAATATTGGGAGAAATTTGAGAGCTTTTGAACTAAACATCAGACAGGTTTCAACAGAGTTTTTGCCACATTCTGAGCTGGTCAAAGAATATCCAATCCTTGAGTGTGTCCGCTGCTCACTGGAATTCACTTAGGAGAGTCAGAATTGCGGCAAGGTTGGTGTTTTTTAAAGCTGTGCTCTACTAAAGAATAAATCATTGTAGTTAATTAAGGCATTAACATCAAGGCTTTTAGTTGGAATGCAATCACAAAGTCGAATATTTTAAGGCGAATCTTGGTCAACAAGGACTCAGTGCTAGAAGAAAAATGAAAATATAAGTCAGAAATTATTAGAAAATTTGAGACTTTAGAGCTTTTAGCTTTTCGAACTTTTATCGAATATCTAGAACCAGCAATTTTCAGCTGCTAACGCAGCTGAAAACTGGTAGTTGGTAGTTGTCAAAAGTTGACACGCTTTAGAAAGTTTTAGTTTCTAAAAGAACAAAATGAATATAATCAAGTAAATTCAAATTTTCAGCTCATTTTCTATGATCTCTGATTGATGAAAGCAATCGACTACAAATCATTTCATCACTACTTATCCAAAACTTATCATTTTTTCTCAATTGCTCCATTGCTCAATCATTTTTCCTCAATTTTTACTCTAAATTCACTATGGTTTGTCATTTTCTAATATATTGTTATAGTTGTTGGTCTTTTTTTATTTTGTATTGCACTTAATACGGATTAATTACATTGTAGTTTACTGTAGCTTGTCTTATTATAGCTTCTTTTGGTTAATAAACTTAGTCCAAAGCTTCCAAAAAACCTAGACTTTGAGTCATTGTATCTAGATATTTTAATATCTATTTTATCTTAAATATTTTAATATCTATTTTATCCCTAACCTTTCCATTCTCCCATTTTCTTTTCTTAATCCTTTGTGTATCTCATAATGTCACATTTCTCTCTATAAATCCTCGAAAAAGCCTCCCGAAATGTCTTTGTACTTGTGCGCTTTTCCCGAAAAATGACTTCATTTTGTCAAAATTTATGTGTTTTTAGCCCATCTTTGATCAATATCCAAATTCTTTTACTTCTAGAAACCTTTGAACCTAGTGAATTAAGAATTCAGTGTGCCAGGGTGACATCTATTGCCTTAAATTTGCTCAAACTTATACCATTGGACGCAGAAATCTTTCAGCTTTTCAAATTTGAAATCAGATTGAAAAAAATCTTGTCTTTATGTAAAGTTATGAAACTCGGAACTTGGTGCCGGCATTTTCTTGTGCCAGAAGCCCCCGTTGATCCAATCGTGGAAATTTTCATGTTTTTCAAAAACAGGTTCTTCTGGCATATTGGTCTGACTAAGGTCAATAAAAGTCAGAAACTTTTTCATTATTTCAATCGACGGTAGTCAAGGTGGTCAAAGGCGTCCGACTTATGAGCGGATCGGTTGTAAGCTGTTCGAGGATTCGAATCCCTCCCGTGGAATTATCTTTTTCGATTTCATCATAAGAGTTGACTTTTTATATCAAAAACGGTCAGTTACCTCACTAGATAACTTGGAATCAAAAATGAAGCAAAGTGAAAGGGTTTTATGTGTGAAAAGGTGAAGAGAACATGGTGGATTACTGGAGTGAAAAGGGTTGACAATGTTGTTGACCGATTGGAGGACGGGAAATGATGAGAGAAATGTTAGGCAATAGCGAGAGCTTTTGATCGCTTACCCAGCAAGTCTAGGTGGTTGCTGAATACTTTTGACTTGTACAGGGTGGTCCAAAATTATGGTAACTGCTTTTTAGAAAAGTAGCTGCAAAATGCCAAACTTATTTCAAAAGTATCAAGTTTTATATAGGGAATTGAAGGCCTTCATCTTGATCTCATCAAAAGATGCACAATACAATTTTCAACTTCCTTTCGGGTTTCAAATAGACTTTAAACCAATTCAAGTTTATTTTATGAAAGTTTATCAAAAGAGCTAGCGTTATTCTTATTAAATAGCATAAAATTGTATTTTTACATTAAATAAATAGCTAAAAAAGTTTTCTGAGATTTCTTTAATCAAGAAAATCATTAAATCTATCACGGAAAGCCGACTAGAGGCGGAGGCCGATTAGAGCTCATTCGAAAGCTTGTAAAATCACCTGCATAACGCCGATCGTAGTGTTTTGACTAGATAAATGAAGCGAAGATTAAGGGCTTCAATTCTCTATATAAAACGATACTTTGAAATAAGTTACCGTAATACCTGTACTAGTAGTGTCCCCTCTAAGGCCCCTTAACTGAGTAGCGCCCCTTAACTGAATATCTTAATGTCTACGAGAAATCTCAAGATATTCAGCTATTCAGCTTTTTGCTTTTTAGCTTGCAACTACAACATTTTCTTTGACTCTTCTTCTTTTTACTACTTTTCTAGCATTTCTTATTCGTTTTCTTTGTTCTTCTTCTTCGTTTTCTTCGATAATTTTATTTTTTTAGGTTCGACGAGCGATCACGAAAGCTGGGATGACTTTGAAGCGTTTCGCGATCGACGTGAGCACCAACTAAACGCATTCTTTGAAGAAAGACAAGAACATCAACGTGAATTGAACGAAGAATTGCAAGAGGAATCGCAATAGATGCAAAGAATAAACTCAATGCTGCAAAAAGTCTCCGTTGATGGCTGGCTCACGAAGTCTCCGTTGATGCCGCTGCCAGATTCTAATTGATTGAGCAAAATTGATTAAGCTTGTGTCCAACGATACGTCAAACAAAGAAATGAGCTGAGCAAAATGCACGAAAAAAGGAAGCGGCTCGATGGTGGCGGACGCGCTTTGACTGATGAAGAGATTGATGATTGAATTGATGATTGATGATTGATGAGATTGATGAGATTGATTGCTGAGATTGCTGATTGATGAGGATTGATTGCTGAGATTGATGAAGCTTTGACATCTGGATTCTTTAAAAAAGCAAAAAAAGCGAGTGACCCGTCGAATCGTTTGAAACGAAGCGGCTAATCGATTTGCTAATGCAGAGATTCCTTTCGAAAGAAGTCACGGTTGGATGGAATCGTTTCTAAAGCGGCACCAATTCTCATTGATAGTGGCGGCCAAAAGCTTCCAAATTTTGGCATTTGGCAGCTACTTTTCTAAAAAGAAGTTGCATAATTTTGGACCACCCTGTACACACGGAGTTTTACTCTTTTCGGTGTACTATGCAAATGGAAACTGTGGGTTTTAACGGCGCACAACCTCTTCGTACAGCATCGATTCGGTGTCACAAAGAAATTTAAGAATTCGGTGCACAAGAAAGGGAATGTTTCTTGCTTTTGAGCACATCAATCATAGAGAACAACTTACTTCCATTTGCAAACACAAACATGCCACAAGGATGGGACTTATATCAAGACAACGCTCCATGCCACAAGGATGGGCCTTAAATCAAGACAACGCTCCATGCCACAAGGATGCTTATTCAAACAACCCCATCCACAAGATGGGCCAAACAAGAAACGCCCATGCCACAAGGATGGGCCTATATCAAGACAACGCTCCATGCCAAAGATGGGCCAAATCAAGACAACGCCCATGCCACAAGGATGGGCCTATATCAAGACAACGCTCCATGCCAAAAGGATGGGCCTTATATCAAGACAACGCTCCATGCCACAAGGATGGGCCTTATATCAAGACAACGCTCATGCCACAAAAGTCAGCTAATGATGGGCCGAGTTGTCCGGCTTGCAAATGGAGGAAGAGCTCGCCTACCCGGCGTTTTTGCTGCTTATCGTGTAGAATTGATCAAAAATGCCTCCTTATTCGCCGGATTTGAATGTTATAGAGCATCTTTGGGCTCATTTAAAGACTAAACTCAGGGACAAGATATTCAACACAAAGGTCGAGCTTTGGTTCTTTATCAGAAACGTTTGGCGACAAATTTCTTCGGGAATTTTACGTGATTTGCTCGACTCAATGCCTCAACGTATTCAAGCTAAACCCCAAAAAGCACCTTGACTTTCTGCTCATCTTAAACGATTGCCTTTATTATTAACGATGCCTTGACTTTTCGTATCTTGAGATCAAGATGAGTAATCGAGAGATATGCGCACAAAATCTCAGAAAAACTTTTTCTAATTGTT